ATCTTGGCTTAAATTGTAAATGAAAGAACTCTAGATAAAACATATGCCCTTTAATTTCGAAATTCAATTAATCAGTGACCATGAGGTTTCCAAAGCTGCCAAAGGAATTTTGAAACCAAGGTGCACGTACGGGGCCTTTTATTTAAAATGCTGTGATTTCACACTTACCCTGAAACTCCCAGAGCTCCCTGGGACACAGAAATTAATCTCCCACCCCTCTCCCTGCTGCTCTCTGCCGCCTTGCTTATGATTAATGGCTTAAAAGGGAAAAACCTCTCTCACTTGAAAATACTTTCTCTGAGTGGTAAAAAAAATAACTTGACTTTGCAAATCATTCCGTGCCCACTCATCTCTATTTTTACAAAATTATCTGCTGTACTCAAAAATATTTTCCCTAAAAAATCAAGTTTACAAAAACCAATTACGGCTACTTAAAGATGATATGCTTAGTTTCCTTAAAGAATATAGAAATGACAAGAGTATTTTTAAAACTGTCTCGTTTCTCCTCCAAAACCTGTAAAAAAACAATATAACTTCTGAATTTTATGCATAAAGCTCCAAAATTATCTAATGTAATAAGAACCGGAGACTCTAGAGCAAGACCCAGTAACTATGACACAGGTAATAGGAATAAATAATCAGCAAGCTCTCTGCCCAGACTAAGTGACGTGAAACTCCATTAACAATGCGAAGCAACTGCTCGTCCCCACAGCGCACTACGCAAGCAACATTTTTACTAATTATAGATGAGAGTTAACGCTTAGTCACAGGAAACATCGGTATTTTTAAGCAGCGTCTATCTGCAGACAGAGCTCCAATGCTTTGCGTCATGACGGCCCCCACTCGCCACCGCTCATGAGCAGGCTGCCAGCTGCGCCACCTCACCTGCCCGGGCACGAGGGGCCCGTCCCTGACACTTCAGCCCTGGGCGGCCTTCTCCCTTCTTCAGTTCTTAGTGAAAGTTAAAATTTTGTCCCCAAAGCGGAAGTTGATAATCTACCACTTAAACTCATTAATTAATTGCTTTACATTTATACATAACCTCCATATAACCGTTTCGGAAAAAACCTGAACGTTCATTATAAAGAACTATAAAGCTCAGTGCTGCTCAAAAGGGTTTGACGACACAACCTACCTTCTAATGTCGTCAAAAACCTGGATTAATTTATTTTTAATATATCTTTATTGATTTCGGAGAGAGGAAGGGAGAGGGAGAGAAACATCAATGATGAGAGTCACTGATCGGCTGCCTCCCGCACGCCCCCTGCTGGGGACCCAGGAGCCCGCAGCCCGGGCCTGTGCCCTGACCCGGAATCGAACCTCCATCTCCTGGATCCGAGGTCGATGCTCAACCGCTGAGCCACGCCGGCCGGGCTGGATTAATTTTTAACACCTGGTCACTGCCTCGCACCTTTGACCACAATAAGTGGATAATTCTTTTTTTAAAATGTTTTTATTGATTTTAGAGAGAGAGGGAGGAGAGAGCAAAAGTGAGAGAGAATCGATCATGTGCCACCTGCACCCCCCTACTGGGAATTTATCCTGCAGTAGAGGGTGCAGACGTGTGGAAGGACGGTTACACTTACAAGGGAAAGGAGAAGGGTTTGTTAGAAGCACGGGGTACGGGGCAAAGGATCAGATGGGGCTCGCTGGGGCCACGATGAAGACTCTCCCTTCAACCTCCTGAAATTGGCCCGAGTTCCGCTTTCGGCTAATTCTAACCTTGAAACCGGCAGGGAGGGGCATCGGGGAGCCCGGTCCTCCTCTTTAACGAGGTGCCACGGGAGAGGGCGAAGTTCTGCAGGGACCGACAAGCTGAGCGTGAGACAGAAGTGAAATTTTACTACACCGTTAATGGAAGTACAGGCCGGAGGCCTCGGAAGTGGACTGGAGGGATCCGGCTGTTTTATTTCACAGACAAGGAGAGTTAATAAAGTGATTTATATTCACGGACGGCTTAGGAGAAAGAAATTAAACCCTGCCTGGGACCTGAGCATAATGAATAACTTTCCCTTTTGGGAACTGCATGTAAGACGTAGGAGAACCAGGTGGTGGTTTTCATATATTCAGAGTAATTCAGCATATATTTGTGCACCAGATTGTATGTCTGACTAAAGATGCTTACCCAGGTCCTCCTCCCCCCAGCTTTCACCCCCCAAAGACCAGGCACTGTGTTCGCCAATGTTCTCCATAGAAACAGAACCAAATGCATATATTTATATATATATATATATTATATATATATATATATATNTATATATATATAAAATCTCAACGTTACTGCTGCTAAGGAAGCTTGGCCAGGGGAGAATTGCGAATCCGTTTCAGCTACTGAAAGAGTTCTCTTCACTCATTGAAAAAACACAAAAGCCAAGAGAATAAATGATTTCAGGAGCTAGAAATGACAATGAAAACCGAGCAGGCAGGACATTTCCAGCCAGGCGGGGTCCTGCAAGAGACAACCAGAGGAGTCAGCATTTTAAAGGTCGTCTCCCTCCGAAGCTCGCTGACCTCCTTTCCTGGCCCTTTCCCAAGTCTTTGTCGGTTTGTTCAGCGTGGAAGCTGACAGATTGTGTCGGCCTTGGACAGGAGATGCTCTTCTCCCAACCAGTGCTAGGGGAGGGGTCCATGCCCCTACTTTCCTGCCTTTGAGTTTGAAATGTCTGGCTTCACAGACAACAGACTGTGCATCTGTCAGCTGATACATTATATGGCTTGATTCGCCTGTTAATGAGCAATCGTGACTTGTCAAGATGTCTCAACTGTAATGCATTTGCGTGCATTTAAAATTTTGTTTTAAAAAGTTTTTCAAATGTTTAAAAGTTGGGTTTCACCTTTAATATGTCTCCTAAGAATGGCCATGTTTGATATGAATTAGCTTTTACTCTTAAATTAATGGGAAGCCAACAGCCGTAGGCAGGAGGACCTCGGTTTGGGTCCCCACCTGGAAGGGTTGTCACACCTGTGGGCCTGATGATCATAGTTTTCTTCCAAAGGGGAGAAAGAATTGTCACCTCGCCAGTCTCTGTTAGATTCGGGGCTGAAGAATCGACTAACTACGTTTCCATAGGGCTAGGCAGATAAATATCAAGATTTTAAACTTCGCCAAGGGGGAGGGTTCACCTCTTTTGTTGACGGATGCATCCTAAGGATGGAGAGGAGGGCCTGACCCATGATGGGAGCCCGGTCGCTGTTTGTCAGGTGAGTGAACCTGTCGATGTAAGAAACATCCAAACCTGTAGAGAATTTTTATGAGTTTATTTGAGCCAAACTGAAGACAATTGCCGGGAAGCAAAATCTCAAAGGATTGAGAAAACGCTCCGGAGACGGCAGTTTTGCACCTTGTTTGATACATGAGAATCCAAGGGGGAGATGCAAGGGGATTCCGTGAGATCCGCTGGTGAGAGATTCGGGAGGCGGGAGAGAGCGGGGAAGCCGCTGGGGTTGGATAGAAAGTAAAACGATGGAGACACTCTTCTTTCATGAGAAACTGGCAAACTGAGGGGTAGAGTTTGAACCGGGCATAAATACCTATATGGACATAGTTTTGCTTTCTATCCTGAATAATTTTCTTAAAATTTCTATATTTGGATGAAAAAGCATGCCTTGTGGACGCGTCAACCAGTGTGACTTCTGTCGGAACTGGGGGCCGCCACCCGGCTTCCTATCCCGTGGCCCATCCACGCGTCCCACAAGCCCCTCCGTGAAGACGTGGGCATCCGGGACGCATGACATGCGTGTAAGTCACGCTGCTTTCACGACGGCGCTGATTTTGTGGCATGACAGTGACTTAAAAACCCAAACTCAATATTGCAAGGAAGGGCTCCCCAAAGAAGGCTACACGCCAGCTTTGTGTGAAAAGAAACAGAATTTATTAAGAAATTATATGCTGAATTCTGCTACAGTCTGTGAAGTCAGGGTCCTCCATTTCCACAGCACAAGACAACAGCTAAGAGCTCTGGACACTCGCGACGCCGGGACGGCGAGCTCCCGGTCACAGGAGATGAAGAAGTGATGTCCGCGCTCAGCTAAAGGTTTGGGTCCCAAGACCAGACGATCCTTCCCTCCTGCTCACCTGCGCTGGCGTTCACGCCGTCCCTGGGGCCTCCCGGCCCGACGACGCGCTGGGTGGAGCTGGGCCACGTCCATCCAGCGGAGCAGAGGGCGACTGGACTCGCGGGTCGACCCACAGTCCTTTAGCTCTCGCATCCCATCCGGAATAGCTGCATTCTTTATTCGTAGAAATGGTGCTTACAGGGGGCAGAAATATAACCTTTCAAGTATTTTATCCATATGATCTTAAGTGCTTTAAACGATAAGTTAAAAATAAATTACAAAAACTAGCATATGATGCATCTTTTCTTACACAACATCGTCGGAAATAAGCTTTAAACGTAGACTGGCAACATCACCCGACTTTATACACGATCGATGGTAAAACATGCTAATCATAAAAATAGCTTTTACAAATATACATTTGTATATAGTGTCTCCCTTACCATTCATAATATCCTTCACATTTTAAGACATTTTTAAGACAAAAAAATAAAACCAAAACC